GAGCTTTCACCGGGCAGGGGGGGTGTGGGGGTTTGGAATTAAATAAGACAAACAAATAGCTGGGTCGGGGTGCGGGGGGCTGTGGGCTTTGTGCTCGCACGCACGGCCGTAACAAACTGCCTCCGCCACTATTGGCAATATTTTCAAAGATCTCATTAAAGTGCATTTATCAAAGCCCTAACATGTGCCCTCCGGCTCTGACATAACCCCGTTAGCCCCCAGGGAGGAGGGAGGGGGGAAAAAAAAAAATCCCAATTTCTATTACAATTCGCCACCTCGGGAGGTTGGTTGGAGGGCAGGCTAGATCTAGATCTACAAATTTATAAGTAATATCGGTGAATTGGGAGGATTTCTCCGTCTTTGAAGCTTAGGGGGGAAGGAGATAGAGTAATCGTGAGAATAGGAAAGCTCATTTAAATTCCTATGTCCTGGAGAAGATTTAATTGTCTGCGGGAAAAAGGCAGGCCGGCGCCGGGATTTTGGGGGGTGGCAGGGGCTTTCTCTTGCGCCTCGGTAGGGAAGGCTGGTGCCGGCTCCCCTTCTGTGTGCTGCGGCTGGAAAAGTAGGTCACACGGGAGCCCCAGAACACCGAATTACAGACACAGGTCTTCTTTTTTTTTTTTTTTCCTTTCCCCCTAAAGCATCCTTAACGCCTTTGTTAATGCTATTTTTCCAGCCGTGAAAAGAGACGGGAATTTCAGCCCGCAGAAACTCCGAGCCCCGCACGTTACAATTAAGTTCTCGAGAGCGACGGAGGACTCAGAGGGCTCTGGTTGCCCCTGATTTCAGGAAATACGATATTTTTTATATTTTTTTTTTTATACTGCCTCCCTACCCCGGTCAGGATGCCGGTGCGTAAGGCAATCCTCTGGCGTGGGTTTCCCGTCCCCGCTCCCTTTCCCACGGCCTGGCGTGGCCGCGTCCCCTCCGAGCCGGAGCCGCCGCAGAGCCGGCAGCATCTCTGCAAAACTGCATCTTTATCCCTGGAAAAATGCAATTTAAAACACTCTGTGCGGGGCTCTCGGAAGGTATATTGAGAAACGGTTGGTTTATTTTTACTATTTTGGGTTTGGTTTGGTCTTAACACCAACAAAAGATGTCTTCTGTAATGATGCGGCTCTCTTTTCCCCCGCCACACTTTAAAACAAAGAGGGTGTTGCTCCCGACGTGATGCTCCTAATAACAATTATCAGGAGCGGCATGGGCTGCGCTTCCCCTTACCCTATTTATTTCAAGTGCAGCTCATTCTCAAAGGTAAAATAAACCTGTGTCCCTAACAAAGGCTTTGTGTGAGCTTCGCTAATCCGCATCGGGCGGCAAGGTGCGGTCCTCCTTGTTTATTTGTGGTCTGGAGTGAGGGAAAACAATAGCTCGCACCTTTGGTCTAATCAAACAATAAACTAATCCACTTGACGGCTGTTATCGGAGATGCGATGCGGGGATGGGTTAGAGGTCAGAGCGAGCGAACCGCACGGAGAGGGGGGAATAGTGGAAGACTCCCGCCAAACACCCTTTAATTCATTTTTAAATATATATTATGTTATTACATATAATATACGTATATGATATCGTTCGACAGAGAAGGGAATGAAGTCAGGGGCGTCGGTGGCTTAAAATAGAGAGACCCTGCGCTTTTCGGGGAGCGGGAGCGCTCGGACCGCCGGCCAGAGGAAAAACTCAGAGAGGAGAAACAAGGCACCGCGCCCCTTAAAACACGACCCACGGGCTTT